GCTACTTTTTTTTACTCAAAATATTACTCAAACTAAAAAATTTTTGGTGGCTAACATTTTTCAGTATAAGTTGTCTCTACAAGTACTACTTAAAGCATACCACTTATTCTAAACTGTATCCTAATTGAAATTATATAATATAAAAATAGTTATCGAATATATACCTTAATCCATATACCGGAAGTACTTATCAAAATTTCATTTTAATCTAGTAGGCAAATATACAAATCGAATAACAGCAATTGCTACTATGACCCAGAAACCTCTTTCATCATCTAAATCTTATCATTCAAAATTGTATAATACAAAAAACCTCTTTATATAATCCAGGTATCAGAATATTAATTTTTTTTTTGAATTTTTTCATATATTTATTGTAAAAGTAATATAAATCTCTTTACCTGGATATATAACTAGCTGAATGTAGCAATCTCTCTACTCCAAAAATTACTACTTAACTAGATTGTATTATCTTAAACAACAGTTATGTATATTCAATGAGGGCCAAAGAGTGGGTTTTTAATTCTTTTTTGCATGGAGTGATAGGAACCTTTATTTTAGCCTTGAAATTTCGCTTATATTCTAAGTAAGCAATTTTGTCTATACTTTTGCGCTCTTTTTTCAATAATTGAGAACTCATTTTATATAATATACTTTAAAAGATTAGCAAAAAAAAAATATCTAGTAATGCATTTAGTCATATATTATTATATTATATATATATTATCAGTCATGTTATTGTGAGTTTTCTTTAAGCACTTCTGATTTTTCTGCTATTTTTTCTAGCTTTTTCTGATAATAATATTTTATATTTTGATACTTATCACTATACCTTGTACATATTGCTGATATAGAAAAAGTTAACTTACTACACTTTTTACATAGTGTACATATAGAAGAATTCTTGTTAATATACAGTCTTCAACTTCATATTCCTCATTGTATAATTCTTTGTCACCAAATAGATCAATTATATTTATGCTAAATTCTTTAATAATATATATCATATAGAATATTTAATAGAAAAATTAATACAATCAGAACATACTATATGTATACTAGATACGTAAGCATCCTCACTCCATGAATCAACTAAAAAAATAGCTTGAAAAATATATTAAAAGCTTGTAATAAGTATTTCACTAATGGCCCAATATTAGTGATACTATACAATAAGATTATTTTTCATATATAAATAATATCCAAGTTCAAATAGATAGTTGTAGTTACTCGATTCATATATCTCACAATTAATCACTTTTTTTATAACCTTTTAGAGTTGCTTCTTCAGCCTGCGGAGCAATAGCACTTCAAACCTACCTATAATCTCACAAACCATATAGCTGCAATAATTAACAAAGTAAGAAAAATATATGCTAATAGTAGTAACATCAAAGTGGTTGCCACAGAGATTGCTTCTATTCCTCCTATTAGAAGAGGCAAAGCCTCAGGACTAGGCTTCATCTGAGAATTTAATTCAATTAAAGTGGATATATTATCCTTACTAATTTTGCTAATGCTAGTTTTATTACTTATTTTAGAGTTAGCTTCGATATCATTTTTTGATAGTTCGATAATCTTATTATTAGTATATGTCAATATATTACTATCAGTTTTTTCAGTTTGATCTATATTTTTTCTACATATAAAATATTTACTAAGATCAGTACTATCCAAAGATATATTATCAGACTTAGTAATATTTTTTTCGGCATTTTCACTAACTATGGGTTTTGATATAGTCTCTGATTTTAAACACTCAAGCTCATTAACCTTCGATGAGACATAGTCTCTAGGCTTTGCCTCTTCCAATTTGCTTTTTATATTTTCTAATTTAGCTATTTTGGATTTGAAGGATATAATTTCAGTTTCTTTTTTCAATGAGTCACTTTGAATTGAAATCATATCTTTCTGAGCTGAAGATAACTTATCTTCTAATATCTTGATCATAGACTCGAGTGATTTGATTTTCTTGGATTTTATATCAATCTCAGCTTTGGACTTTGCAAGAAAAATATCTTTATTAGCATTTTTAATCTATAAATATTTAGCTTTATCAATGAGTTCGAGATCTTAAATGTATAATTTCTGGATCTCAGTATTAGCTCTTCTCAGTTTTTTACCCTACTTCTTTCTATCCCGATCTCATTGTTCTCTCTTCTGATTAATTTTTTTTCTTGTTTTTCATACCTATCTTGCAATTTAGCATTATATGAGACTATCTCAGAAGAATTTTGAAGGATGATATATAATTCTTTTTTAAAATCAATTACATTGTCTATATTAAATAAAGAGAATTATTATGAAAAATAACAAAATATGAAATATATATATGATAAAATATAATTCAACAATAATAGATAATTACTAATTTTTTTAGAAAATTATTAAATATTAAATATATAATTATCTATGATTACTGATCTTTTTTTAACATAAGAGAAATAGGAGTATTTTAGTATTTTCAATAATTTTCAATAATTTTTTATAATAAAAAAAGAATAGAACACATAACTATAGAATATTATCGTGCTGGTATTTCTTATTTATCACTAGAAGCTATTAAGAAAATCATTCAATCTCGAGGGACAGTTAAAAATGCATGCAGAAAAATAGCTAATAGATATAGTACTTTAACTCGTAGAATATATGAAATTTGGAAAAGACATGCTGAAGGCATACCCTTGTGCAAATAGCAACTAATACATAGTATTGTTTCTTCTGAAATTATGTTTGAAAATAATACTTCAGATAGAAAGTCAAAGAAAAGAAATCTGAGATCTAGTTCTAGATTTGTTCAGGTATCTGATTCAGTAAATATTCTAATAAAAAAAGTAGTTAAAATAAATGATTTATAAGCTAGACTTGCACAAAATCACAAAGAAAGAGAAGAAGCTAAACGTAAGATAAAAAGAGTCTTAGATTCTAACTAATTTACTTTTTTTTTTAGAGTAGTTTGTAGACCCAAAAGGTTATTGCTAGGCAATAATCTATATACCATTTCAATATCAGACTCATTTCTATAGATCCATAGTTTTTTATTAAGCTCAATTAATTCAGTATTAGATTTGAGTACTTCATATAGTGATTTTTCTAACTTCTCATAGCTCATATATTATTTTTTAAAGTTGAATCTAGGCTAAAATCTGCAGGAGTATACTATTTCTCTAATAGATTATTATTACTCTCATTACTATTCACTTCTTAAGAAATTTGATCAGATACCAAAGGCTTATTGCAAAACAATAGAACTTTGTTCCTATCATTCTAAGATGTAGTAGTGCAATTTACTTCAGATTTTTTTTTTACCTTGTGCATAATAACTGGAATAATATAATCCTTTCTATTAAAAGGAATTTTTAACTCATCTTTACTCCAATCTATAGTATATTTATATTTCTTGAGAAGTGGGTTTAGAAATATCAATGTTGGTTTAGAGATATGTATAACTACAAAATCTTCACATATAGTAAAACCTAGAGGAAATGTTATTAGAAAATTATAAGCAATACTAATAGATTCTGTTGGAACTATAGCAACCTTACTAAGATCATATTTTTCTAATTTATTAATTGGCCAATTTACATATTTAATAATATTTTCCGATGTAATTAGAAGTTCAGCTCCACTATCTAGTACCAATACTAGAATTTTTAAGTATTTGATTTTAACTAGTATAGTTGCTAGGCTTGTGATAGGTTCCTTTCTTTAAACAAAATCTATCTTCATAGGATCATTCAATATTTCCTCATCACTATCTGATTCAGGTATTTCTGGAACTGGCTCTCAATAATTTATAAAGTCAGATTTTGCAAACCCTTTAGTGACAACTTTTTGAGTCATAGATAAATTCAGATTATTAATATTGTTTTTAATTGTTTCTATAACCTCTAGATTATTAAACATAGCTAGAATAATTTTTTGAATTTGTAAGTTAATAATCGTATCTAATTTCTTTTGTATAATATGTTTTTTTGAACTAGATTTCTTCTTAAAGGATAATTTATTATTTCGTAAGCCAGATTTCTTTACTTTTTTTTTATCTTGCTAATATTAATATAGATACTTTCAACTACAGATAAAGACTTCTCAGACTTAGATTTATTATTGGAGGAATCAGATCCAGAATCACTACTAGAAGAATTATTAGTATCAGAATTAGAATCTATAGAAACTTTATTGATACTACCTTTCTTTCTGAACTGGCTTTTTTTTTTATTTCTTAGACATTTAGAAGAATTTGAATAATGCCTAATCTTATTATAATTTGAACATTTGTGTTGTGTTTTCATAACTTTTTTTACAGCTTTATTTATAACTGCATTTATTGATAGCTCACTCATATGATTAGCTAGCTCTTCATCAGAGTCAACTTTACTCTTTTTTATTATTAGTTTTGGAGTTAAATTAGGCTTTGGAATAGGAATAAATTCTGGAACTTCTCTAGTAATCTATTGTAAAAATCTACTAATATTTGTATCTTATATAGTCTAGTACGTTTCTGGGAGTTATAGTCTATAATAAGCTTTAGATGGCTGTATTAGTTGTATTTTCTGAGAAACTAATTGTGAAGAAATAGGTTGGGTTTATGCAGATATTGTCATAGATTTTATTAAGTTTCTAACTTCAGTTTCAGTCATACCTAAGTAATTATTCTTTTTATGAGCTTTTTTTGAATCTGAGTTTGAATACAAGTAAGCTTCAGATAATTGCTCGACCTTATAACTTTTAATCTTTTCAAGTTCTGTGAGCAATTCAGAAACAGGCTTGTTAATTCTAATACATCAAATTTCTAATTGATTATCAGAAGAGATATTGCAAATAAATTGTATTCAAATTTGTTGTTCATCAATACCAGTGAGTCTAGCTAATTTATATAATTTTGAATAGAAATGACTAACAGGATCACTACTCTGAACTACTAATCCAAAGATTATTCGTTGTTTCTCTGCAGTAATAGTTAGATAGTTAGTCTTGAACCAGTATATTGTCTAGCCAAGTCAAATTCTATCTGCTGCTATAGTTTGTCTAGCATTAGCATTTGATGCATTGAGTAATCGATCTGTTGAGCATCTATTAGCAAAAGACCAATTTTTATTAAATATTATATGAGCAGGGAATAACAATATTTCTAGCTTGGCCTACAGTACTATATCTTAAATTTACACCAAGTTGTACTGCTATTTGTCCTTGAGCCAGAGCTAAAATGGCCTACTCAGTATTATCTAATAAATTTCTCAGTTCCTAATTCTTTCTTTGAAGAGACCTTTCATACTAATCTTTGGTATCGTCTTTAAAGCATATTTCAAAAAGTCTATGTACATGAACTCTATTGCCATGCCCACTAGCTACATCAATTCTGGCAGCCACATGATATGAATGAAAAGAATCAATAAACTCTTCTAGATCTTCATCA